AATATACAGCAATAATAAACCAAAGAGCTAGTTGTAAGGATCTTATTTTTTTAAAGAACCATCAAATGATGACAGCAGTTAATGTACTACCATTGGTTTGTTAGAGGGAAGTGTCATCTTTAGAATTAAAATAAAAGGTTTCTGCACATGATATTGATTTTCCCACTGAGACATAAAAGTTTTGAATATACTGTTAAAGGAGTCAATGGATCAAATTCAGTAAATTTGAAGTTGCTGGAATAAAAGGTCTCTTGAAAAAAAAATATGTCAAATTTAAAGGTCCTTCCTAACTGAAGACCATTTTGCAACAGAGCCAAAGGTTAATAAAATCAGTAGTGAATGTGGCAATTTTACAGATAAGCTATTCACAACAAATGTAGTTACTTGAATAAAAGCTAATTCAGTCCTAAAATGCCACATGCAAGAAGCTGTGAATAGCTGCTTTTAGGTGCTTTCGGGAGGAGAATAAAATACAGAATTACAGCACTCTTCTTTCCCAGCGTCCCTGGCTGCCTGTAAATTGCTCTGAATGGGACTGTGGGCTGACAGGCTCTATTAAGACAAACTGTCTTTCTCATCGGAGAGATAAAATAAATCAGGTGTTTAGTCAAATTAAAATACTTCAGCTGGAGCAGGCCCTGGGGAGCACTGATCCACCTGACAAATCTGAGAGAAACTCAAGACAGATGTGATCTGGGGATAAGGAAGAATCCATTGGAAATCTGGAGGTGGGGGGAGGGTGGCATGGCTCTCCTCATATCTTTAGTGTTAGCAGACAGATCCAGTTTAAAGTCAGAAAAAGGTGCACGTGTCATGGGTAATATATTATGGAAGCTGGTATCTTTATTTGATGAGAGAGCTATGGTAAGGATCGTCTTCTGTTAGCAGCAAGAATTTGGCCTGCAAATTCTTCATTATTTCAAAATAGATATGTTCTTTTCAACTTAGCTGAAAAGCTTATTTATTTATAATTTATTAAGAGTATGATAGCATGTGAGTAACAAAAAGCTGATGATGTATAATGGTTAAACAAAAAAAAAACCCCAACCATAACAGCTAATTTCTTTGTTTTTTTGTTTGCATTTGTATCACTGCAAATAGATTAGTGGGAATGGTGGCTAGGGAGTTAATTAATTATTGCCATCCCTCCTCCCCTCCCTGTTTTCTCACTTCAATAGGAAAATATATGGAAGCCTGAGAAACCTGTATCAGTTTTCCTAAAGCTTCTTGGCTTCATATATGAAAAAGGAAAGCAGGGTTAGATTACAGCTGGCTTTGCAGCAGCAACTCTGTACAAGTGCCCTTGATGTATACAGTACAAGGCAATTGTGCAGCAAAGTCAACTTTAATCCATGAATGGTATAAATGGTTTTTTTAATACTTCATATTCCTACTTTGGTGTCTGATGACAGGGATACCTATGGTAGTTCTGAGTTGACCACAATAATTCTTGCTATTGAGGCTTTTAAAGACAAAACAAGAAAGGAGACTGTCAAGATTACTTTCAAACATAAATGGAAACCTGATTTGCAGCTTTGGTGTCTGATGACAGCTATCTTGCTATAGATCAAGGGTCTTCAAACTTGGTTGGCAAGTTTAAGACTTGTGGACAGAATTCCTGAGCTAATATGACTGGAGGAGGAATTCTGGGAGTTGAAGTCCACAAGGGTTAAAGCTGTCAAGTTTGAAGACCCCTGCTACAGATGGAAGTACAATTTGTCCCAATGGAACAAAATTTACACTATGCTGCAGCTAAAATTGACTACTTCCAATCAACAATATCTTAGTGCACAGGCTGAAATGTTGGTCAGGTGGAATGTACAATATTCTATCCTGACCTTATATCTTGCTGTATATCTGGTGAAAATTGAAATTATATTTAAATGATTACCTTGTGCATCCATGTGAGTTTAAATATACCTGTCCCCATCCCTTAATTCATGGTGCTGCCACCAATTTGCATTCCATGATAATTGAAATAGTCTCATCTAGGATGGTGTTAAAGCAATTCATATTAAACCTATTATAAAATTATTAGGGATGTGAAAGACGTAACCTGGGATTTGGACATGCAAAGCCTAACTTCTACTTGAGGCATAGGGTATTTTTATTTAGTATAAATGTGATTTGAAGATTTGTGTGGCTTCTGCTTGTTTATTGTATTTCCAGTTTTCATTATTTAATAGGATGCATAGATAAAACCATTCCATATGCTTAGTACTTTTATGAAACAGCAATGGTTTTATGAGGAATGGTTTGCTCTAACCATTTAATGAGCTCACTGGCTGAGCTATGTTAATGCCTTGCACCCATTTTAAGGACCATAGTAAGCTATAAAACACTGCATCCTCCAAATGAATTGAATTCTGCTAATTCAGACATTTGGTAGACATTCAGAATGCATTCAAAAAGTATGACTCAGTTTTAGTATCCTATTAATAGAAGGAACACATTTATTAGAAAAGGAAGGATAATGAAATATTGGATGCTATAATGTTAGCTAACTGTTAACATTATCCTGTTAGTTACTATTCAATCTTTACATTGTCTTTTTTTAGGAAAAGTTGTGGAATGCATATGTTATTCCTGATGTCTAAAACTGGATTTGAAACTGTTCACAAATGCTCTTTTTTTTCTTCTCATAATGGCTGATCAAATGTTTAAAAACATTGATTGCATACCAGTTTTTCAATGTGGAAAGATGAAATGAGATATGTGTAAAAGTATAATTCTGCTTTTCTGGTGCAAAGGAGGAAGCTTTCCACAGGACATATGTTAGCTGGTTTTGATTTTTTCCAGCTGCAATTGCTAATTCTTTTCTTTTAATACTTTATTAGTTGTTCAATTTAGTTTCTGAACTTCATTTTAATTTCAGACCTGAAAGTGTAACATTACTATTAGCATTTGTAGTTGTGTACATTATAGCTTTTGTGCCTTCATTTTTTGTACAGAATATACTGAACAATTGGCTTTGCAATCTTACAGCTTTTCATGTGTGGCATGCACTTATTTTACAGAAGATAAAAAGAAAAAATTCTTTGAAACCAAGCTGTTAAACTGTTGATATTTTAGAAATATTTTACTTGGTATAAACATAGTTTACAAAATCCTGTTTCAAGGTTAACTTTGACAGTATGAGAATATAGCTCAAAACCCACTAAAAAGTAACAATGTCCTTGATTGAAACTTCACTTCTTATTGGAATAGCCATGCAGTTTTATTGGTACCACAGTGGAAGTACATTGCTGTTCTCAAGGTTTTTTTTTGTATCTCAGTCTGCTCAAAAGTTATGAAATGATTATCCCCCAACTACTAACAAGGATTGACCCTACTTAGTTTTTGCTGCTTCTTGTTGCATCTGAAATTTGAGAACTAAATGAAAGGCTGACAGATGCTGGGCTATCATGGGAACATACCAATATAGTCTATAACTACCAGAGTCCCTGGAAAATTACAACTGTGCAGATAGATGTCTATGTAAGCTTTTGCAAGCATTATTAGCTTCAGATATATCTTCTCTCATTCTTAGTGCTTTAGAGATTCTTGTAGGTATTTTCAATATGGAAATTTACATCGAAATGGTTTTCTGAAAGCTATGACAAAAGAGTACATAATCTGATAGTTCTCATATTAAATCACAATTTAACAAACAAACTATTTATTGATAATCCTAGGAAGAACAAGTGGGTTAATGCAAATAATTTCTGGCTAATCCTTTCTATACCTGGTGTAGGTGTTCATGGTTGACCTCAATAAAGCCATGATCAGCTTCTGGGCTGAATAGGCATGGCCTAGTTTTCTTTTGTTCTGACATCTAACAAAAACTAAACCATGGCCATTCAGTCTGAAAGCTCACCTTTCACTTCAATTGCCTACTAATGTTATTTTATTATAATTGTGCTATGTGTAGTTTTCTTTCAACAGGTATATATTTAAGGAATGTGCAGGTAGTCCTCAATTTATGACCCCAAGTGGACCAGAATTCCCATCACTAAGCAAGACAGTTATTAAGTGAGTTGTCCGTGGTTTTACCAATCACTGCAATTGTTAATAGAATCACGCCATTAAGCAAATAGGCTACCTTCATTGACTTTACTAGTCAGAAATCATCCGGGAAGGTATCCCTAAGGTGCTTTTTCAAAAGGCAACTGGACTTCCTGGTTTTTCTTTGAAGACGTTTCGCTTCTCATCCAAGAAGCTTCTTGGACAACCATGACCTGGGTGACTGAGAATCTCCATAGACATCTGGGAAGGTGGTGGATGGTGATCACATGACTTAAGATGCTATTGTAAATACAAGCCAAGGTTGCCAAGTGCCCCCAAAATCAATCACTTAACCGTGGTTATGCTGTGATGCTTGTAAATGTGAAGACTGGTTGTCAATCTTTTTTTCCCCCAGCGGTGTAAATTTTAATGATTTTTTAAAAAATGGTTGTAAGTTGATGGCTACCTGTATAAACTAGGTTCAGTTTAGCTAGTTGGCTTCAATCCTAGTGAAGGTTTATGTTATGGTTTCTCATAAATAAAAATGGAATATATCTTGTCATGATCTATCAATATATTCATTTCTTGTGAATGGTGTCATTTTTTTAAAAAAGTAGTCAGATTTTTTTGTTTGTTTTAATAAATAGGATTTAGGATTGTTTTATATTTTGTTTCTTTAAAATTATTTAATTGGGGAAGATGACATTGTAGTACTGTTTTTTGTGAATGCTGTAATTCATTAAACAGCCATTATACTTGAATGGAAGGGAAAAAGGAACGTGCTGCTGCAAATTACCTAATTAATTTTACCTCTTTGTCAGAAGGGAGAAATTATCTGTTTTCCCTTACCAGATGATAGTGAAAGATCCCTACCTTCTGAAAAATGCAGTAGCAGAGTTTATTAATATATGTCCTAATAAAATATTTAAAGTTGCCTTCTGTAGGATAAAAATAGTTTTGTCCTTTGATTGTTTATTTGTCTGTTATTTATGCCCCATCTTTGGTTTCTCTTTTAGGTACCCCTGAAAGCTTAGCAGAAAAAGAACGACAGCTCTCTGCCATGATTACCCAGCTCATCAGTTTACGGGAGCAGCTTCTGGCTGCCCATGACGAGCAGAAAAAGCTGGCAGCATCACAAATTGAAAAACAGCGGCAACAAATGGATCTTGCTCGCCAACAGCAAGAACAGGTAAGTGACAAAACACCATGTTATATCAAGCATGTTATTAACTGTTTGTTTAGATCTTAAAGTCTCATAAGATCTTAACCTACTCATTTCCCAAACTTTCTCAACTTGATGGTTCAAGTGTTTTACTACATTCAGATCCAAACACCTTGCAGTTTCCAAAGAATAATCCTGGCAAATCAATCATGATGCTGCTTATAGCCCATTTGTGAAATTTTGCTGCAGTCACTGATCAAATGGTCAATTATTTCAGCCTTTCGCTACAAAGGCAACACTTGCGGTTGAATTTTTGCCTTCATGCAATTAATTGTCAAAGTGTGTTCTTGAGCTGCTAAAATAGAATCTTCATGATTTTTCCTTAACACTCCTGATCTTAACCAACTCCATGTTGGTTTTGTATTGTTACTATTTAGATTCTTGTTAGCCACCCCATTACAAATCTTAGAAATTTACCAGACTCTCCCACAGATGGGAATGATGTGCTATTAATATGGATTATGCTGCTTTAAACACACACACACACACACAAAGTTTCAAAAACTAAATTATATTCAGCCATGAAAGAATATCTTGTTGAGTGTAATAGGAATGATGGTTAATAGTTTATTTAGAATTATATTTTCCCTTTCCTAAGAGTTGAATAAATGGTCCCATAGACTTCATTAATTTGTGTCTGGTACAAGTAGATTACTCCTCTGGATTCCAATATTTCTAAAATGGTTACCATGCTATAAGACTGTGTTTCCTACTGGTTCATAAGATAATTATTAAATGCATGTTGTTAAGATAATTGGTAAATTATTTGATCATTTGAAGTTCAAAGAAAATTGAAACATACAAGAGGCATCTACATAACCATCAGAAATTTTGTGTAAAAAAACCTAAGAACAAGAGAGACCGTGAGTTCCTTGGGCATTCATTTTAAATTAATGTGCACTTTTTAGGAACCTGACTTTAAACCAGAATTATCGTTTCAGTTAAATATGTTTTATAGAGCATATACCACAAAGTATGCTCTGTTGATTTTAATGAGTTGTGACGTCTGGTATTTTATGTGCTCGAATATTTGTCCACATGTGAGGAATACGGACTCGTCCCTAATGGAAAATAACATAAAGGAATACTGTAAAAAATCAGAAGTTAGAATGTCATTTAGCCATCCAGAGATGACACAGTAATTAACTATTGACACTTGTGAATAAGCTAGCACAAATTAATCTTGACACATTTGCAGACGAGTGATATCTTACAGTGAACACTTTGTAATTATATTTCAAAATGAAAATTAAATGACACTTAAAACTAGGTTGTCATGCTCAATGAAGCGAGCATGTAGCTCAACCAATTCGCAAATAAAATTCAGGAGTTGAGCCACATGGTGCTCCTCTGCCATCTTTGGTGGTGTCAAGCCCTGTACATTGAGATTGCACTGGGGTAATTGCTGTGTAGCCGGATGGATTTCTTCATTTCTCTCTTTCTCCTTAATCACAAACACCATCAATATTAGATGCTGTGTGACTACTTCACTGGCTTCTGTAAGGATATGAATATTCATTTGCTCATATATTGTACTGATAACTGCTGTGAATGGTGTACGAACATTTAAACTCTGTAAATCTTAGGAGTTGATTTTATTAAAGTTTTGGTCATAGCCTGGATACAAACTTTTAATATGATGCCTATCTCTGCATAGTTGCATCTTAAGTACGGATTTACTCACTCTACTGAATTTATATTATTTTTTTTCGTTTAGCCCTGTCCCCTTCCAATCCTTAAAGAATGCTTGCAATAACAAGATACCACAATGAGAGTGAATAAAATATTAAAAATATGGTAAAAGGCAATATGCTAAAATATAGCATCGAGCCCTGAAAGTAAATCTTCCTAAAATTCCCAAGGAACCTGATGATGTACAGGTCTGGAAGAGGGAATCTTATAAACCCAAGGCAATTGGAGAAACTTTCCAAACTTATTTTAAAAGTTTGGAAAAAGAATTCTATTGCTTCAGATTCAGGATAGCGAGTCCATTTCTGTGTATTTTATCAATATCAAATAAAGGCCTATAATTAGAAAAGAGACATGTTAATGTCAAAATAGTAGGTTAATCCATTCTTCCATATATGGAAAGTTCTTTTTAACCAACCTTAGGGACAAAAAGACAATCCTCTTTTGGATTGGCTACAAAGGCTACAGAATTGCGTGCAATCTGAATATATAAATCTTATCTAATGTCCTTCTTTCTCAGTTTCCTGTGCTGTGTCTTTGCACTTTGGTAGAAGCCCAGAAATATATACTGGAAAAGAACATCAGATAAAATGTATTGAGCATTATACTTGCCCATTATACATCCCATATCTTAAAATGACTAACTCACATGTGTTGTTATGGGTAAAAATTGAACAAGTGATGCTTTGTCTGCCATCTTGAGGTTCTGAAGGAAAAGCGGAATTAAAATAAATCTATTAATAAATAAAATAAAGTAGATGAGGGTATATTGCACTGTGTAAGTAAACTACTCTATTTGCTGATCTTTTTCCCCTTGTGACATTAGGATTTCTTGCTGTCCCCAACCTGAAAATAATTTAAATTCAATAAATCGATTCTCTTAAATAGCAGTGCAACTGAAACACATAGTAACATAGCTTTAAAACTGTTTATTTATTTCAGGTTATATAACTCTGACCAACAAACAGATATAATCACATATCTAAAACTTAGAAACCGTGATACAATGCCAAACATATAATTCAAAACAAGTACAGTAGCTGAGAGTAAAAAGCAATGTAATACAATAAAACATTAATCTTTTAGGACAACAATGATAACACAATGAAGTCAAATAATAGCAATCATAATTATGGTTATTGTGTTTGTATTGTAGAGGCAGTACACTTTCTACTCAAAACACACCAAGCATAGGATAACAATAGAAAATGAAAGTAATGCTAAAAATAAAGCAAACAGGGGCCGCTGAAAGAGAAATATAATTTTGCAGAGGTAATAAATACATATGTAGTTTCCAGTTCCAGAAGAAGCTTTTTCCAACAGTGAAGTTGTAGTTAAATGATGCATACAGTATAAACACACTCCAAAAAGTCTGCTTTGGATAGAGAGTTCCAAAGAGGTCAACATGACTGAGTTGCAACAACTTCACAAACTTATTTCCAAAAATGTAATAGCTTATGTGAATGACCTTGTGAGATCAAGGGATCTCTAGTAAACAGTCAGATAAGAGATGCATGGCCCGCAGCTGCATAATAGGTGGAGAAAGAGGCTCAGAAGGAACCCTTGTGTCAAAGTTCTCAGGCTGAAAAGGAGATGGAGGGGTATTTGTATTTTCAGACTTGCAAGATTCTGTTAATGTAGCCTTACATTAAAGTAAAAAATAGTTAATCTGGTTGTGTTTCCTGTCTGGTATACCTTGGAAGGCTGACAAAGAATAAGATGATTTAAAATGGGGCTGCCCCTGCTGACCTGAAAGAGAAGGCCCTTTGTTCTAATCTGCTCCTGATTAAAGTGGCCATTACCTGATAGGCAGTTTAAAAATGTAAATCAATAAAATGCGTGATGACTTAACCAGGTATTCCTGACTATGCTTTAAAGATTGGGTTATTGAATAATATCTTTGAAACCTTCTTATGGTGTTTTAGTTAACTCATGGAAGAGTACGATTCAGTGTAGCAAAGCCTAAACACCTTGGAATTTATCAAGAAGACTTGGTTCTCGCTGAATAATATTGAATTTCAATATCTCTATTTTATTTAATAGAAATTTTATTTCCAACAGATTGCAAGACAACAGCAGCAACTTCTGCAGCAGCAACACAAAATCAATCTCCTGCAGCAGCAAATCCAGGTCAGTATGTTTTATTGCTCTCTGCTGATTATTCTTAAATTCTATTTAGAGGGAGGGGAAGTTTTAAAATAAAATTGCTTTTACTCTACTAATCTAGCAAAGCTTCCAAAGGTCTCCTATTTTTTAAAAAAGGTGAAAAATATTTCGATGGAAGCTATATTTTCTAATAAACAGCTTTTGTTTGAAGGATAGCTATTCATTTTAAATTTGACCATTTAATGCTAAGGTAAACAGATAGCTTAACATGTGCTCCAGAGGAAAAATAGTGATTCAGTTGTTTATGGATCACTTTATTATAGTGAAGATGTAACAGCTTTCCATTGATAAGAATTATTACAGAAATCATTTATAGCTCTTGCTGGGTAGGTATACAGTAAGTGTTACGGGCAGGAGGTTTTGGTAGGTGGCAGATGTTATTGTATATGTGCCATGAGCACCAATTCCAGTTTTAATTTTGTATGGAGGAAGAAATAACATTCATTATAATCCCTTCTTGAATGTATCCAAAGATAAACAATATAAAAGGTAAATATTATTTTAGTGAATAACTGTTGTGGTTATTTCTTTTTCTTTTATAAACGTGTCACGTCATGGCTATTGAAAGTTACCACTGCCAATAAACCTTTTAAAAATAATAATAATAATCATAACAAAAAACTTCCTATTGCATAGGATTATGCATTGTGAGTGAAGATGTTGGACTGAGGAGCTCTTTGGCCTGATTCCACAGGATTTTTATGTTTTTGTGAAAAAAGTTCCAGTCTAAATTTTGTATTTGCTTTTATGTCTGAGAATTGCTACTCTACTCTAAAATGGTACAATCCTGGAAAGATGGTTGCTCGTGCAGTTTTTGAATACCTTGTTCAGTTCTAACACCTGCTTTATTATGGGAGGATGAATGGATTCTTCTTGTTCAGATGGATTTTTTTGTAGTCCAAGAAATTGCTGAACTGAGAGTAAAAAAATCTGCCTACAATTTGCATAGTTAGTTGGATACTATTGCTGGCATCATAATTTGCTTTCTGGTAGTCATTCTAAGGCAAAGAACAATTTTCTTCCAATGGCCACTACATTACAGAAAGTTATAAATAGGTAATGTTGTCTTCTTTTTGCCTTTTCTGCACTGTTACTTCCTACCATTGCAGGTAGTCCTTGACCTATGACCTATGACCACAGTGGAGCCCAAAATGTCCATTGCTAAGCACGACAGTTATCAAGTGAGTCTTGCCCCATTTTGCAACCTTCCTTGGTACAGTTGTTAAATGAATCATTGCAGTTGCTTAGTAACATGGTTGTTAAATGAATCTGGCTTCCCCATTGACCTTGTTTGTTAGAAGGTTGCAAAAGGTGATCACATGACCCTGGGACACCTCAAACCATCATAAATATATGTCAGTCACCAAGCATCCAAATTTTGATCACATGACCATGGGGATACTGCAATGGTTGTAGGTGTGAAAAATGGCCATAAGTTACTTTATTCAGTGCCATTGTAATTTTGAACAGTCATTAGGTGAATAGTTGTAAGTCAAGGACTACCCGTAGTTGATTCCCCATATTCTGTATTTGCAAAGGTTCACAGATATGTCACTAGGACCAAGTGGCAGTTCCTCTTCCTAAAAACAACTAAATTGCCTCTACTCTGTCTTCTTCTAACCTCCCCCCCCCCCACTAAGTTATGAAGTTTAGCCACTGCCAAACATATTGTCACTTTATGCCATTTCAGTTGTTGAGGGCCTGTTTAGAATAAGAAGCTTCTGTGGATTGCCTCTCTCTCTTGTGTGCATTGGGAAAACTCATTAAAGGATTTCAAGCAGGTTAAGCATTTCTCCTCCATGTTATGTTTGCCAGTATTCTGGTGGTTGTTTCATCTTTTCCTGGAGCATCATGCAAGAAATTGCTTTAGCTGGTATCAAAGCTGCTGGGTCAGTGCCATATCAAGCATGCAAACAAGTTTAAAAGAACGGCTGCCATACTTTTGTGTGGTTAGAGTTGTAGTATGAGACTTATATTTTATGTATTGTTTGTAATTTTCAAAAAATATTAAACACTGATGTTTAAGCAGCTCATTACAACTGACATGTGGAACTTTTGCCTTTTTAAACATCTGTTTCCTTAAATTTGCATAAGGAAAATAGAAATAACTTCAAAAATAGAAGCTCTACCCAGCAAAGAGTCAGTTGTCCCCAGTACTTAAGTCATAATGCTTGAGTACTTCATATATTTTAGAACCATGCTTCCAATGGATACATTTTAGGAATATACAAAGAGATAAACATTCATCAAAAGACAGTGTTTATACTTATTGCTTAAATAGGTAGCAACATTATTGTATAGCCGAATGAACTTTAAATAAAAAGAAAATCAGTGATCCTTTCACTCTGTCTTGTCAGAATGGTCTTGAAAAAGCACATTTAAATTTCCTATCTGCATCTGAAGCTAGTCATACAGTTGTTTGGATGCCTGGAGCATGTGACTACTTGTATTTCAGTATTCCTGGATTTAAAGGTGCACCTATTTTATTAAGTATTCTTACATTGCACTACATAAGTAAATAACTGCTGCCAAAAGTTTATTTACATAGCACATAAATTTGTCAGCTGGCAAAATATGTAGGTCATTAAAAAAACAATTAAAGCAAATGTAAGAAGCTGTTACTGGTATTTTAGCCTTCAAAAGTTTTAGACATAATTTAGGAATGAGAAATCAACCAGAGTGAAAATGAAAGATGTGTCCCATGGAGATTTTTATTCAGTAGGTAATAAGCTAAAGAAAGTCACACAAATTGATGCCATCCTGAAATTAATATAATTTCATAACAGCTTTATTTCTTGGGATTTAGACTATAATTAAAGATGACAATATAAAATATTTATTGAAAATTATAAGGGAACAGTCAAATTTCAACACAATTCAGAAATATGCACTATCAAAAATGTTTCTGATTCTTGGCTCTGCCCGTGGACCAAACATTTGCAAATTACTTTCTGAATTAAAATCTGCCTGATGAGCATTGGTGCTGGCAAAGAAAGCCACTAGCCTTTTTCAAATGTTAATTCTGGATTTCTGCCCTGTGGTTCATACTTTTTGTTTAGGTAGATAGAGCCTGTCCTGCTCAAGTCAATTGTTTATTAATGGTTTGGACCCTGTTGTGACATGGATGTGAGGGATGACAGAGGGAGGAGTCAATCACTTGCAGCGTACTTGTGGTTTTTGCTACCTCTCTCTTGTCTCTCTAATTCTAAACCCAATTGAAGAATTTGAATTGGATCAAGGACGTTTTTATTTCAGGAGGATCTTGTGAGTTAAGGTTCTAGTGATGGAGGCATTTTGTTGAAGCTCTGCAGGGACAAGCACGAGATCCTGAGCAGGAGTGAGCCAATTTAATGTGTCAGCAGATCAGGGACAATATCTGTAGGAATTAGTTAGGCAACTCAATCAAAGGGATGAATCCTTAGAAGGTTGGAGAGAGAGAGAAAAGGTTCTGTGTATCTTATTTCCCCCATGGTTGATTGGTTTCTGTAGATACCACGATTTGTATTCAACCTTGTGTTTGTTCATGTTCAGATAAGGTGACACGGATGTGTTTATCTAAAACATTGCAATGTCAAACGGTAATTTTCACTATTTCCACTTTTTCATTGTTTTGCCTTTGCCTTTCTTTGTCTTCCATTGAACTGGGACAAAAGTTTTTGTTTCCAGAGCAAGTAGCTTCTGCTTTTGTTTAGGTCTGGAGCTTGGACCTTTGAGGCTCTGCTTTTGCTTTTGCTCCGGGCCAATCAGCAAAGCATCAAAGTTTTCTGGAGGTTCAATTTATACCATATTACTTTTTGCATGCATGCAACTAAATTATATTGTATCGTCAAAGTTATTTGGTTGCTTCAGGTGAGTTACATTTTGGCCACGACAACCGAGAGAAGCCCATGCTCCCAGTACCCCCTCATCCAACTGCATCCAAAGCAGGGGTAGTACAACTGGCAAGAATACAGTTCCATTCCCCCCTCTTTATGGCTTTAATTTCCTATCCTACATTATATTAAGTCTATTAATTTTTAACTAGATCCATCTAATTACTACTGTAGCCGTCATGTTGAAGTATCATTATGTGGAAGAAATTTGAGAGGTTTTCATTTTTAAAAATTAAGACACCAGTATGATATTATAGTCATACATAAATAAAAAATCCTATACATTAAGGTCTACCTTTTATTTTTAATCAGTGATAAGAGCAGTGATATTCTCATATTCATTTTTATAAGCAATAGATGAAAACTAATCAAGGAGAGAACCAACCTAGAATTAAGGAGAAATTTCATGACCGAACAATTAATCAGTGGAACAACTTCTAGCAGAAGTTGTGGGTGCTCCAACACTGGACGTTTTTAAAGAAGATTGAACAACCATTTGTTTGAAATGGTATAGGGTTTTCAGCTTGAGCATGGAGTTGGACTAGAAGACCTCCAAGGTCCCTTATAACTCTATTATACCATTAGTCTTTTATTCAGATTTCTATCATCTACATCAGGGGAGTCAAACTCCTGGCCTGCGGGCTGGGTGCGTCATGTACTGGCCATACCCACACCCAGTTTAGCGAAGGGGAAAAAAGGCTCGGTACGTCATGTGACGCTGCTGTGATAACATGAATTTGACACTCCTGACCTACATTCACTTTGAAGAGTCATCCAGATATTAAAATTTCAGGCAGGACAGTGAAGGACATACTTTTAAATTCTTTTTAAATTCTTCAATCCCAAATATGTTCAGATATTAATATTAGGATCAACATCTTAAACATTCATGGCTAACCCAAATCTTTAAAATTGGCATCAGCAGCACAATGCTTCTCCATCTATTATCTGGTTAATATTCTGGACTGGTTAAATCTTCAGTAGTGTCTTCAGAGAAAATAAAATATAATTCATCAAAAACTTACATGAATGACCAGTTTCTATAAGAGTTTCAATTCTTTTGTCTCTTGGCTGCAGGCACTTCAGCTCATT